CTTAGTGTCCAGATGACCACATGCTGATCAGTTTTATGACCTTGGTTTGCATTTTGTTCCTTTGCTTAAAATCTTCCATCTTTGCTAACATAGTGATAATTACCTAGATGGGACGTAAAACCTTCCAGCGTCTTCTTTGGGTGAATATATTCTGTTCATCAAAAAGAAGAAATCATTGTCTTGTATATTTTCAAAGATACTGTGTTTATTATTTTCAAACTGATCATGAACACTTATAGGCCATCTGTAAGAAAGGGGTAAGGGGCCATATAATCAGAAACGTCCTTATTAGTACATGTTGTATAGGCTATTATAAATTATTGTTAGCTATATAATAATTCCTCTGTTTTTTGTTAAAGAAGAAGCAAAGAATCATAGGTTTATTCTAGAGGTACAAGTTATAAAAAGAACAAAATACAAAAGATTACCTGAAGTTAAAAATTAATTGATACAGGGTTTTCTATGTATATTTGATAAAATGCCCGCAGCATTAGAAGCTTAAATTGACAGTTAAAAACTGGAACTAAGAGATATCCAGGATATACTGTAAGCCTTTACACAAGAACATGTGGGCAGTAATGACAAGAAGGTATACTTAAGGGATAAAGAAAAACAAAAAATGTTACAGATCCCTAAATCTGTATCAAAATTGCCTAAAAGAAACAAAGATTGTATAAGCCAAGACACAAGTAAACAAGGCAAAAGATGGAGATAGCAAAAAGGCTTTACATTAACCTAAGGAATGAAACACAAGAAATTAAGAATTGTATCAAACTGATCAGCAATAGGTCACCTGGAGATTGACTATATATTGTTTCATAAGGAGAAGCCAAAGTCAGAGCAATAAGTAAGGTTCATTAAAAAAAAGGTTCATAATTCCAGTTCATTGGGTCTCAGAGTTTCCAGGATTCTCATCTTTGCCAAATAAGTCTTCAAAGGAAAAGAAGCCAACCAAAAACACCTATATGTTCAAAAATTTGGGAGTTGTTAGGAGTAGGAAGAAAATGAGAAGGGCATCTGTTTTAATAACTGTAATATACGGCTTGCATTTATGTTAAGCAGTAGACCTTGAACCCATAATAAAGCCAATTTGATGTCGCAGTAAAGACACCAAGTTAGAAACCAGTAGACTATGTGTTTTACAGGTAGTTCTCACTTACCAACTGCCTTGTTTACCAACTATTTGCAGTTACAATGGTGATAAAGTAATTTTGTGACCAGTCCGCAAATTTATCACTTTCATGGGTCTAAAGCAAAGCAAAGCTAAAGTAGCATCATAAGCACAGTCATGGTTTCACTCATCAACCACTTTACTTAATGAGTTGCCAGCCCCAACTGAAGTTGCTGAACGAAGACTACCTATGGTCCCACATTAGTTACAAAGCCAACTGTGTGATCTTGAATGAGTCACTCTTTCTCACTCCTTGAAAGGAGGCAGTGGCAAACCACTTCCAAAAATTTGCCAAGAAAACTGTAGGGACTAGTCCAGACAGTCATCAGGACTCAAGACTGACTTGAAGGTATGCCTGCATGCATGCACATACAAATCAAGTACATAACTTTCCTGGGACACTTGTATGTCATATAATCTTCAAATAATATTTTCTGGCCTCCTTTTAATTGCTATCTGTTAACTGTAATAGTGTAATATTTAGGATGAATAATCTAAATAAGATTAATTAACTCTGTAAGGTCACTCACATTAATGTTACCTGCATCACAAATTAAAGTGCCATTAATGGACTTTATCCAATGGAAAGACAACCCCGAAGCAATATATACTATAATGAACAAAGAAACAGGGTAATTAATTTTGGTCTACATAAGCAAAGAAACGTGTTTTTTAAAAAATTGACCATTGGTATATATATGAAGAAATGATAGTAAATTGAAAAAAAAGTTTCAGAATTGATAGTAATAAATGAGAAACGTTTGTAACTAAAATAGCCAATATAATTTTACTCATGCTGAAATGCAAGAATGGGAAGTCTATTTTTATGAAGCCCTCATTTAACAATCATTTATTTAATACCGATTCAAATTTACTGAAAAAGTGGTACCAGTCCTCAAAATTGCAGCCATTGTTGTGCCCCATTTCTCATGATTACATTTTGGGCAACCAGCCTGCATTGTGATTGTGAATTGTGACCTTCTCTGCTGGCTTCTGACAAGCAAAGTCAAGGGGAAGCCAAATGAAGTCCTCATTTAACAAACCATGTGGTCCTTGCTTAATGATGGCAACTGGAACTGCCAGAACTGCTGTTGCTAAGTGGCACGGTCACGTGATCTTTCAACTTATGACCTTGTCACTTAACAACAGTTTCCAGTCCCAATTAGCATCTTTTTTTTTTTTTTTTTTTTTAGAAAATTTTTATTATTTTCATCATAAGAAAAAAAAACACATCACAAGTACTTCACAATATTATATTAAAAAAAAACCCCACCACCCACCCACCCACCCCCCGGACTTCCCAAACCTAATCCCAGGATAGTATTCAAATATAAGTAAACAAATATTAATATCCCTAACCCCACAAAGTATACTATTCTACATGAGTAGGTACAATATATTAAAGAAAAAGAAAAACAAGTTAACTAAAAACCTAGATTATATTCCACCACT